AAATCAACGTTGCACCCGCTCTCGCGCAAGCTGGCGTCAGTGACCCTGCCCGCAACGGCAGTCGCAACCTGACTGACAGCCACCATTGTCCCATGCAAGCGGTCAGCGAAAGCCAAGGCATCCTTCTGGACCTGCGCGACGCGCGGGGCGAGCTTGCGAAAGGACGGCAAACGCGCTTTCACCTCATGGACTTCCGATGCGGATCCTGCCGCCTGCGACGCATCCGCATGGACATCACCCTGCTCGATGCCAGTGCCTTCCATTTTGCCTGAGAGCCCATCTGGCAGCTGAGCGGCGCCCTCCAAGCCCGTCGCCAATGCGACCTCGTCCCCAACGGCGGTCTCGAGCAGAATTGTTAGACCAGCGTTGACCATGACAACGATGCCGACGTGGAGCAGGAGGCCACAATTGGACAAGCTCGTTGCCAACGAGTCCTTGTTATGTGTGAGCCCAACAGCCGACCACTTCTTCAACGCTAGCATGCAAGTGGTGGCAAACGCATGGGTCGCCTCGATTGCCGCCAGGAACGACTGCAACGTATGAGGCTTATTCTCGTTGCCGTGCAATGCCCAACTCATCGGGTCCAGCGGGCCATCTGGGAAGGTGAGCTCGAAAGCGGCGACGGCCGCAGTGAAAGACTCGGTCGCGCTCTTGTCCTGGATGCCGACCTTCGAGTGGTTCAGGGCGGCAGTGAGCGCGACGGCGCAGTCGTACGAAGCCATGGCCTTGCCGAGCTCGCTGACGGGGCCAGTGGTCTTCGCGAGGGACACGATGTACTTGCGCACCTCGCCAGCCTCCTCGACGTCGGGCATCTGCGTCTCGTCTTTGCGCAAGCACTTGGAAGTCGTCACGACTGCATGCAAGGCCTTTATCAACTCTCCGCCTGGCAATCTCGTGATATCGGCCACTGCATCGCGAACGCCCCCCAGCTCCGCGATGGCAACCTCCAGCTTATCCTGGTGATCTGCAATGTTGGCGGGAAGCTCGTACAACATAGCGCGAACATGCACCGCGATCAATTTGTAGACCTGCTGCAAGGGCTCTTCCAACAACAAACTTCTCAACCATGGCATGTCGGCATCCACCTTCCGCTTCTTTTTAGTTTGGCACGTTACCTCGGTGATATCGTCGGCACAGTCCTCCTGCTTGACCTCAGTAGTAGCCTGCGGCTCCGAGTTGGCACTCTCGACATACTCGCGGTGCAGAACCTCCATCTCGCCCAAACGAATGTGCTGCGTCGCCGTTGAGAGAGAACGGCCGTCACGGATGTCCTTCTGGAACAGGCTGTAGCGCTTGATAATCTCGCTGTCGGGGGACAGCCTCTGACCAACCTTCTCGAGATAGCTCTCCAGCGTGCTGAAGAACTTGATGGCGTCGCCCATGTGTGCGCTGGATTGGGTATCGTTCCACGCCTTCATGGCCTTGTAGAGTTGGACCAAGCCGAGGTGCCTATGCTGCAACTGCTTGAAAGCGAGACTCAACTCCACATCCTGTTTGCCAAGTATGTTGCCACTGTGTTGATCCAAGCGCCGCCCCAGAGCATGGATGGTTCCCAGCTTCATTTTCAAGGCCCAGTCCACGTTGGTAATCTGGCTAGCGTACGTGTTGATGGTCTTCCTGATGCGGGATATGCTGGTGTACATGACGCCAGACGGCAGCTTGCCTTCCAAGCTGAGGTCGCTGATCGGCAAATGGTCCTCATCTCCATCATCGCCCGCTGGCACCTGTTGCCCGCTGGGCTGCCCTACGGCCGCGCCGACACCTCCATCATGGGCACCACCGCGCGCCGGTTGCCCCTCCAGCCCGCTGGCCCCTGACGAGTGCCAAGTAGGCTTCGCCTGCCCTGAAGCCGAAGGGTCGGCGGGGCTCGAAGGCGCTGCCGAGGCCGATGCCGCGGGGCGCGGCGACGCCAAGGACGCCTGAAGGAGGCATGGCAACATGTGCGTGCACACGCATGTAAAACTTTAGAATGTGTGTTGCGATGGAATCACCCCCAGGAGAGAACAACCGACAAACTGGGGCCCCGTCCCAAGGAAGGATTGATATCACGCACCTGGCTGCCGCCATGACTGTGCCAGACGCGCGCCATCTGCTGGAGGGTCAGCTCCCCGTTCACCCTCTGCCTCGCGAAGGCCAGGACGAAGCTAGGCCGATCCTCACTGTCTGGCCCAGGAACTTGGTCACGGGCCTCGATCGTATCATCGTCGATCAACTTGAGGAGCTGACGGCGCCATGTGCAATCACCTGATCCGCCCGCGGCTGTCGTCGCCGCGCCCTCTCTCGCCTCCGAGCCCGCGGGCAAGAGCACGAAGGCGCACTTGGAACAGAAGTTCACCACTCCAAAGCTCGAGGCCCCTGCCATCTCGGCGTCGGGATCCTCGTCATGAGGGGCACTGGGGAGCTGGCTGTCGTTCAACTCCTCATCCAAACGCGCGAAGAGACCCTCCATGAACTCATCCTCCTCAGTCTTGACTGCGGTGCCCTCTGCAGCCGCAGCCATGAAGATGGGCGTTTGCAGGAGTGTGCAAATCTGTGTCACTGCTGCATGGCCAAAACGGCTACGGACAGAACTGCACTTGAAACGAGCACGGCACTTGGAACCATTCTCTCTGATGTACGCTCCTCGTTTTCCTAGTCGTTGTAGGGCCTTCGTTTTCACCGTGCCCCCCAATGCAAACGTGAGTGGACGCTACTCTTGCTGACGCATGCGGTGGCCACGCCCCCTAGTGTGTCACCCCCAAGAAGGCCAGGCCCATCGCCAAAGGTCGAATGTCTTTTCTTGAATTTCCCCAGCGCCAGGACTTGGATGGCCCCCGTGACGTGCCACTACAGCCGAAGGTTGGGTCCTCCGCCAATGCTTTTTTGATGTGCACGGGGGCGCGTGGCACAAATGAGGATGGAGTTTGAGGGTTCCTGTTTAGGGGGGTGGAGGCAAGAGCGCATGCCGTGCATGCCCCCTGCGGAACTTGTTGGCCTCTACGCGTTTCTTGCCCGAACTCCCCCATTGTCCTCGCGCTGCTGTTGGCCGCCCCCCAACCCCCATTCGTCCCCTCGGACCCCTCGTATCCGTTCGGCCCCTTCGAAACCTACCCCCGCACTGCGTCCGCGCGCAGTCCTCGCTTGGTTTTTCGAGCTACGACCAGCTGTGGAAGCGAGGCAAGCCCTGCAGGAGGAAATGCGAATCCATGGGTGAAAGGGGCGGTGCGCTCCTGAAATGTCGGCCCCTTGTGGCCGCGCCTCCGGGAGCAGCACATAACAATTCGTCGCGGGTGCTCAACTCTATGTGCGCGAACAACGAGACAATAAACATTCGTTGCAAACAATGGGGAGGTCACGAATGAAACGCCGCTGTTGTTCCAGGTGGACAATGCCTCGGGTTCTGGGCTACCGGACCAGGGGCGGTGCGGAACACATCTCAGCGAGACCGAGGAGTTATGCTTGCCATCTTGATTGCCCCTGTCACGAAATCGCAGCATGGGGCAGAGCTCGCGCGGTAACTGTCCAACCGATGTCTCAGGCGGGGCACATTTTCAAGTGAAACGAACGAAGTGACGGATCGCCCCCCTTGCGCCCGTCCTACCCATACGAGCAAACCACAGCGCTGCAGCGACGGTTGGGGCGGAGGGGTGGAAGTGCGAGGAAGAGGAAAGGAATTTTGGCATGCGGGAAGCACGCTCGCGAGTCTCATGGGTCCACCGACTAAGGTCCACCAGTGAGAAGGGTTATTGCAAGGGGTGGGCGGTTTGCCAATGCACTTGGAAATTGCCTCAAGATGCGGGTATAACAAGTGCGGGGCATAATGCATGTGGACTCGCTTATGCACAGCGTGACCCCTGGCGGTATCCCCCCAAACCACGGAGTGCTCAGACAAACAAGGGTCGCCCCATCTCTATGGACACTCAAGTCACCTTAATGCGACATGAATATCGCGGCGGGCCAGGGCGACCGACCTGCGCGCAGCCCATCGCGGCGCGCTTGGCCATAGCAGGTGCACATCAGCGCGCGAGAACGCGCGCGGGACAATGCGCGAACGCGCGCACTGTGGTCTGAGGGTCTGAGTTCAAGCGCAATTCGTAAAGCGATGGCGCGCGGCGGAGACTTCGACGTCCACGTGCGGCGCCCGAGCGCCCCCTTCCCCCCTCTCCATTGGGCCGCGCGTTGGCGCCCCCTGCAAAGGCGGCGGGATGCGTTAAGGGGCGGCCGATCCACCGCGTGCGTGCCGCACCCGAGCACGACCATCATCTACATTGCGTGCATATGCGTAGTGGGTGGGCTGGTTCAAGCCCCATGGGCGCAACGATTTCGCGCGCGCGTCGCCTCGCCCCCCGCCCCCCCCCCCCCTCCCGAACCGCGAGAGGGGGCGACAGGATGCCGCAAAGGTGGGCACGTTTACTTCCCATGTCCATGTGCAACGTTCCGCAGCGCCCAATGGGGATTTAACTTGGACCCGTCGTGAGCTGCGGCCATTGCGATATGGATCGCGCTCCCTGGCCCCGCGCACGCAACGCCACCTTGCGCTATGGGGTGCGATGGTGGGTGGCAGGGGGGTGCCTGTGAAATGGGCCACGTCGGCACCCGCAAACAAGCGCGAGCGCGCGAACGCTAACGCGAGCAAGAGCCCTCTTCTTTAAATGAGCGCGCGGTGGTTGGAACGGCGATCGGTTCTTTGCGCATGCGCAGAATGCGGAACACGCGCGCATGGACTTCCTGGCGGATCGCAAGCGGGTGGAGGGATACAGCGGGGCGATCCAGAGTGCGTGCCCACGCGAAAATTGAGAGCGCACCCGCGCGGGCCAGAGCTGCGGGACCAGACATGACAAAGGGGGGCGGTTGAGGCGCGGCCCCTCCTGGGACGGGCGCGCAGAGCGCGGGCGCGCCAACTGGGACATCACCACGGCCCACTCTGGGCGCGTGGGTGCGCGCGGTTGGTTCGCGCGCCATGCGCGCGCGCGTTGCGCGGGCGTGCCCGCGTTGCTTATCGCTGGGGGGTCAACGCGGGCGGACGCGGGTTGCGTCGTGGGTCGGCGCCCTGCGGTTCACGCGGGGTGCGCGAATGCGCGCGTTTTGGGAAGGGGGGGTGGCGGTCTGACCCCAGGCCGAACGCAAGTTGATGGACATATTAATACCACGCGTCGCGCGCGAACGATGCTGCCCCCGCTCCAGCCGCGCCCCCCGGTTGAGCACGTCAATGAAATCAGGGCTGGCGCGAGCGGGCCCGCGCGCGGCGCTCGAGCGCATTGCCAGGCATCGCCTGCGGCGCCCGCGCGGGCGGCGAGGTGCGGTGCGGGGCGGGGGGGTGGGGGGGAGGGGCGGGTGCAGAAACGGCGCGCGGGTGCGCCCTCTGCCGCCGCCGCGGGGTCCACAAGGTGCATGGGGGCGTCGTGCGCGGGCTGCAAACCCAAGCGCAACGTGCGAACGCATTGGCATAGCTGTGCCATGGTAATTTCGCGCGCTCGTGCACACTGACCGTTATCGCGAGGTTGGCTCGTTGGTCCTTGCGCGGCGCGCAGGCCAGCGCTACTGGGCGCATAGCTGCGATCTGTCTGGGAGAGACACGTGTTCGATCGGTGTGCTGCCCTGGGCCTCTACGACCCCCGCGCGCACCTCATTGCGAGAGAAGGGGCCGCCGCGGTGGCACGGGTGCGCCAGAAGGCTCATTAAACGCATGTGCGCGGCAAGTGTACCATTCGGCTTGCACAGACCCCGCTTCAGGCGTTGCCATGCCATATGCATTTGGTATGCCCCACGCGTTTCCCAAGTCGCTCATGTGGCGCATGTGGGCACCTGAAAGGGGCCGTCGTAAGCCATTGATAAGGCACCCTTTGCGGTCCCGCGAACGCAACGAAGCATCGCGATGCCCCCGCGGGAGGGCCAGGCGGATTACCAGATGTTGCCTGACCACTGGGCCACTGAAGCACTCGGCCGCGCGGTGCCTCGCCACCAGCCGAGCGCCCAAACGTGAAGCGCACGCCCCGCCAATGATCCGCCCCGCCGCAGACGACAAGCGGTTGCCAAACCATCCGAATAGCTTCGCCCGTCCACCCGACCACCTCCATCCACCTGGCCACGTGCTCGCCTCACCGCATTCTCGCTTGGCGATTTGCCCGCATGGCCACCTTATCGCCTGACCGCCCAACACTTGGTCACCCGACAGCCCGATCACATGCAAACGCGAACCACTCTGCGCAACGAGCACGACATGGGCTCCCAATCGCAGGTAAGTGCCCACCGCTGGTCACGCAACCAGGATCTGCGCCTTGTTTGTGGCGCATGGGTGGCGTCCGCGCGGGTGCGGGCAAGTCTGATTCCCGCAGTATCGTTCCACTGCGGGAGTTGAACCCCCGAGTTGACTCACCGAGTGTGGTGTGTAAGTGTGGTGTTGACTACGGGGTCGTGTCTTGACTATGCGAGTGTGTCTTGACTGCGCCTCTTGACTTCACCTCTTGACTATGGGAGTGTGTCCTGGCTACGCGTCTTGACTACTCGAGTGTGTGTCGACTACGGCTCTTGACTACGCGAGTGCGGTGTGCGAGTTGACTGTTGACTACGTGGGCGCGTCTTGGGTGCGCGAGTTGACGCGCCACGCGCGTGTTGGGGGCCCTTCCGTAACCGCGCGTGCGCGTCAAGTTCGGGTTCCATCTCACACCATGACAAGCCAACCCAGCTCGCAGCTTCGCGCACGCAGCCATGCGGGGGGGTGGAGTGGTGGAAGTGTGCGGGGGGGGCATGTACATAGGGTGGGCAGGCGCGCCAAGTGTGCAGCTTGCGCCACGCGCGCCAGTTGCGCCACGCGCGCCAGGCGCCGCATGTTGTCCCAGGCGGGCCAGGCGCGACAAATGCGCCAAGCGCACCAGCGCTCCTGGCGCGCAAGGGCCACAACGTAACGCACGTGCGAGACGCGTGGCATTGTCGGCAGGTGAGACAGGTGCGCCAGGGTTGCCCAAGGTTGCGCCAATATCGCCTCTGGGGCGCGCAAGCTGCGACAGGTACGCCAAGCGCGCCAGACGCGATAAGCGCGCCAAGGTTGGACCGAGTAAGCCACGTGCGCTCGGGCACCAACCTACCCCACGTGCGCACTTCGCGCCACGGGCACAACGTCAACGTCCGCGGCGCCTGTTCGGCGCGCCAAATGGGCCACGGACAGCAGATGCGCTGTCTGCGCGCCGCTTGCGCCAAGCGCGTGGGGGTACAACATGCGCGCGAATGCGTCCCATATGGCGCAGTGAACACCCGCTGCGGGCATGCGTGCATGCTGACCCCTGGCGCGGGATGGCCATGCGCCAGCTCATCTGGCCCCGCCCAAGCGGTGTCCGAATGACAGCGCCGATAGCTTGGAATGTCAAACAGGCGAACAGCGCGCGTAGAGCCCAAGTGTCGGCCCCGATCACGCCGCAACATGCCAATCAACTTGGCCGACATCGGGCTTGCGATGTCTGTGTCAATTCACTCCATGCGATGCATTCGGGCATCATGGGCGCGGGAGCGGTCACCACTTACCAC